ATCGCCATCTAGTGTCACATTGTGTACTGCACTTAAAACACACTTCAAATGTTTTATTTGCAGCTGTATAGCTGAGCCCTGTGAATATGAATGGGCTATCACACATTTAAAACAAAACCCCCCATAAAAGTCATCTGTAAGCATACACCCTGATTTATATGAAGGTGGCTTACAAGGTCAATACATCTTACTGTTGCTTAAAACTAGGACTACCCTCCACACAACCACCATTGCTAATTCTACTACTTCTTACCTGTACAGATTTCTGCTGGTATTGGTACTGAGCACTCTGCGATGTGGCAGTTTCTGCTTTTTCAAATTGGTTCTTCACGCTTGCCAAGCCTCCAGGTATCCTACAAGCCTCTGTTTCGTCGAGAGCCTGGTGGGACAAATAAGGGTGGTATAGTGGTTAGAGCGTTGGATTAGGATGCATGAGAAAAGGGTTCATATCCTCACCCAGCCGTGAAGCTTGCCGGGTGAATTGAACCAGTCGCTGTCTCTCAACCACCATCTTACTTAACCATAGTTGCTATTCTGCCTATTCTTCCGAATGACGCTTCTGCATTTTGTAGGATTTTTTTTAATTAAAAAAGTCAGTTTTTTTTAAAAAAAGGAGTTTTTAAATATTAGAAGTGCACAAAGTGTAAGATGCGAATTATTATGCAATGACGATGTTGTTGGGTTTTTTTATGCAGAAAATGCCTTTGACACTTGTTCCTTGTATCCCGAACAGCAGCTCATTCGCATACATTTCTTAATAAGCCATGCCAAAGTTAGAAAGCAAACCTATTAGGAGGCTGTCATCAAAATCCTTAAAATATGAATGGGCTGTACATTATGAAGATTCCTACTTAGAGAAGCTTGCTGTGGTATTATTACCTCATTGATTTAAAAGATTAAAGCCATACTAACAATAAACAGATTTCAGAATCCCCTAATCCAGAGCTTCTTCAATACCATTAACTGCTTTACACTGTCAGGTGTTCAGAGACAACGAAGAGATTCTGCCGTTACACAGCTACGAATTAATCTCTTTTCAAAACCAACATGCAAAGTCTCAGAGGCCCCTTCCATAATGCAGATGGATTAGCACAATAATGCACGCTGCACTCTGTGTTTGGAAAGAACTGCGTTTCAGACACTGACCCAGAGAGAGCCACAAAGTAAGTTAGAAAAGCTGAGGCTCAATGACAACTTGGAAACTGGGATTCCAGAGAGACTTTTAAAACAGTGGCGGATCCACAATGCATCTGGAAGCCACTGGCTCCTGACAACCACAATGATGACTAATCACCACCACTTAGGATCTGCCCATTACCTATCTATCTTCCTTTGTTTTCCTCTGTGCTAATAGGATCCTTGTGTTTTGAATACCATGTAAGAGGAGGAAGCAGGAAGCAGGAAGGGAGTGTGAACCAGCAGGTAATTTTAGGACAGGGGTGGGAAACTGTGAACCCCAACTTCCCCCAACCACAGTCACCATGGCCAACGCTCAGGAAAAACAAGAGCTGTGGTTCAAAACCATCTGGGGAGCCACAGCTTCCCCATCTCTGCTTTAGGGTAATAACCCTGATCCCAAGCTCTGCCTGGAGTTTGGGTCATGCACATGCATGTTTGGCCTGGGGCAAGCTATATACATCGTGCACGAATGGGCATGACACACTGACAATGACTGCTCTTTCTAAAGGAAAGCAGCCTGTTTGAATCTAGAACAGTGTTTCCCAAACTTGCGCAGCCAGCTATTTTTTGGGACTACAGTTCCCATCATCCCTGACCACTGGTCCTGCTAGCTAGGGACGATGGGAGTTGTAGTCCAACAAGAGCCAGAAACACTGATCCAGAAGCCTCAGGTGACCAGGAGGTGCCTCATCTTTTCTCCATTTTTTCTTCTGCTGGCCATTTCTCCTTTCCTCCAAACTACCCTCAAGATTCACATGTGTATACCAGATGTGAGGGCGGAAGGAAGATCTTGAGTAAGAAGATGGCCCATCGGAAATGGTAAAGGACCCTCCCCCTACTCACGGCTTCTCTGATAAAATTTGCTGCAGCTGCATTGCGTGCATTTCTGTATAACATGTTGTTTGCCCCTAAGTATAGAGATCCCATTTGTTTCTTATACATCACTGTGTTGTTCTCTAATATCCAAGTGTGAGTGGGTGAAGCATATATTTCATTCTTTGGGTGCCAGCTTGACAAATCTGCACATTTGCTTCCAGCATTCTTATATATTAAAGCTGTGAAAAACAGATGAGCACACACTTTGCAAATCTCCATTGCACACTTTGTTTTCCAGGAATGCAAGGGGATATATTGCCAGAGTGCATTGTGCAAGTTTGTGGGATTAAAAAAACCACAACAACACCCAAACAAACATGTTTTGGACAGGTATGAATTCACTCAGAGACTTCATAACTCCAAGGCTAAGAAACTGCCTCCCAAAATAGCTTCAAAAACATATTGATTTTTTAAAAACAAAAAAGCACATGCTACTTTGCCACTAACGTCCACGAAGAAGAAGAAGAAGAAGAAGAAGAAGAAGAAGAAGAAGAAGAAGAAGAAGAAGAAGAAGAAGAAGTGGTGGCGGCAATGGGATACTTTTTAAATTGTATATTTGCCCACTGATATTAGGACCATCTCTACCATTAGGTAGAGTGAAGAAGCTGCCTCAGGAAGCAGAAACTTGGGTGGGGGCAGGCAGCAGCAGTGAAGTATTGGAAGAAACAGTTGAATATGCTACACAACGTGCCTTGAACCTTCAAGCCAGCCTGCCATCCTCTGGTGTGGTGAAGGGAAAGTTAAACTAGAAGTCCAGTTGGTTTCAGTACGTGGAATGGAGAGGGGCACCATCTTGATCTTCACCTTTATTCACAACGATTTACATGTCACAAAGAGTTGACTAGGTAATGTTGTTACAAAAAAGAATCTCACTCATCTTCCCCACAGCAAGAAGTGGGAGTTGCTCCCTCCCATCTGGATCTCACCTTTTGCAGACTATTATGGAAGCACAAAAAGACATGCTTTTCTCTGTATCAGGGCTGAAAACTGCATGGGAAGAATAAGAAACCCACCGAAGGGCCAAGAACGTCACATTCAAGGGAAGCAAGTGGCAAGGAGACCATGGCAAAGAGATATGAAGAAGGGCATAATGTCAAAAATTAAAGAACTTAAAATAAAAATCCTAGCAAGGCGTCCTTCCCCTCCAAAACAAATCAAGCAAAAATTCTGTGTCATGTTCTATCTAACCTAGTGGTACAAGTAACTTTCGTTATTGTGGTTTGCAGGGCATTAGGGCCATCCAAAGACAGATGGGAAGCAGCAACATCATGGCAGGGGGATTGGACACCACTGCTTTGTGACAAATTACCTTCCTGATCGGACCTCATTAGAATATAGCACTCTGCCTGTTTAACTGAACACTTTGTTGCAAACTAGGAGATGGTGGAAGCAGTGACCTTGGGAAAGGCTACCTCTAGCAAAAAGAGTCACGTCTTGTCTATTGAAAGAGAAGTGAACTCTAATAAACCAAGTATGGTGTTTTCAAAATGTCTTTTTAAACCACTAAAAGTCTATAAAAACACTCTCCTGATAAGGAACTGGCAACTTCCTCCCCCAGTTGGGTGGGAAACCGTTCTCAGTTTAGTGCGCAGAGCTTTCCATTAAGATTTTCCACATTAACAAGTGGCATGGAAGTTCTTTTCCTCCACAGTTTGCATGATTTTGTTAAAAATCAAACCCTGTTAGTGACCTTGTGTGTCAACCCCAGACACACACTTGGGGGTTGTGCTGCTCCTCCTTCCACACACACCTCTGTTGCCTTGCACAAATTTCACATGAACCTTATTTTCCCAACAGAGACGGCTCCTTCCTGGTTCCTGCCGTATGGCAAGCATTTTGGACTATATCAAGGGGAAGTTGAGGTGTCACACCCTACATTTAGATTTGGGGTCCTCTGTTTTGAAATGGCAATTTCACACCAGGGCACTAAATAGCCAAAGCTGCCAGGATCTGACATATTTCTTAACAACAACAACCCCAAAACACTATAGCAACTAGCAAGTCAGTGGGGAATGTAATTTTCTTGAAATGTCCAAGTCATTTTGGGTAGCTAGTACATATATCTGAGGAGCAACTAGGCATGTCCTAACAAAACAGCGCCGGTTTCCAAAGGATGCAAAAGACATGAAGTTACGTTTGAAGATCTATGTTTTGGCAGAGCAAATGTGAACAGCCAGTTATATTAGCAAGCGGCCATTTCATGCATGCCTAGCGCAAGCCAGTGAATTTTCAATGATTTGTGGTGGGCAATTTTAGTCTGACACTCTTTAAGCTCTCCGATGAATGTTACTTATATAAAAGGCCACTAGCAAATATCTACTGTCTGTTCAGACATCCGGTTTGGGAGAAAGTAGCTCTAATTTCAGTGTTAGGTTTAGCTACGTATTGAGTCCTTAAATGGCACAAAACATTCAATGGTCAGTAAATTTGCAATGCAAAGGTGTGTACAGTTCTTAATACAGCTCTTGGATTTGGAGAGAGATTACAGGTTTCCATTAAATTCTCTATTTTAATTATGGAAGCAGTGTATCTCTTTCTCTCTCCAGCACAAAAACAAACAAGCAAAATCTCCTTGCAACACACATTTTCTCTGACCAAAAGTGAAATGCCAATCAACCAAGCAGCTCGAATGCAACAGTTGCCATATGATAGGTAGAAAAGGTAATAATAATAATAATAATTAATAATAATATACAATGGCCCTTTGTTGGATGATTGTTTGAGGTGTTAGAAGGCAATGAGAAGCAATTGTAGGATGGTTGATTACAGTAATTTCACTATTTCCAAACAAATGAAAAACACAAGTTACATTTGAATACTGCATTGTGTGAAGGCACTCAGAGAAATATATACATATATATATACACACACACACATATATATGAATGAGAGAGAATATGTTTTGCCTATTTAAATGTATGAGGCCTGTTCTTCAGATAGGAAGGACGGTAGCTCAATGGTAGAGCATTTGCGCTGCATGCAGAAATTTCCAGGTTCAATCCCTAATATCTCTACAGGTAGGTAAGGCTGGAAATGCTCATTGCTCTGAAATCCCAGAAAGCTGCTGCCAGTCAGTGTGGACAATACTGAGCTAGATGGACCAAAGGTTTGTTTCAGCATAAGGCACTTCCTATATTCCTTTGTGAGCGGCAGGAATTGGCAACCCCCTCCCAGTGGCAAGTCCTGTTCCTGTGGCTCCTGTGTACTGGACTGTGTGCATGCTTAGGGCAGAGTAGAGGCATCACAACACAATATGCAAATGACCCATAGCATCCTGCACAACACAAAAAAGTACACTTCATTCACCAGCCTTCTCAGCTACATATTGCAGTGCTATGCAAAAGGAGCAAGCCGTTTCCACCTGTGTGGGTCTAAAGAACTGCAAGGCATTTGCTACTGCTGCTTCATCATGCCCAATGGACACCTGTTGGTCATACATCACTATCAGCGATGGGGAGCATGTGGCCCGTCGGATGTTGTTCAACTCCAATTCCTAGGCACCAATTCCTAGGGACCTGCTCTCTCCCCCCCACCCACAATGATCAGGGAGTGGAGAAGGCCGAGTGCGGAGGCAAGCGTGGCGTGGCTTCAGTGGCTGGTTCTTCTTCCTCCTGCCGCAGAGGGGAAAGAGGGAGGAAGCAGTCTCTGGTTGGTGGCAGCGACAGGAGGAGGAAGAGGCGGCCAGCCGTGGAACCCAGCAAGGTGCGGCACAACTTCAGCGGCTCATGGTTCCTTCTCCTGCTGTTGCTGTTGCATAACAGAAAGACGGGGGAAGCAGCCCCTGGCCGGTGGCGGCAACAGCAGGAGGAGAAGGCCAAGCACAAGAGGGGAGGAGCTGCTGGCCATTGAAGCCACACTGCCACTGTGTTTGGCTCTGGGCCCTAGCTCTTCCTGGCATCCTGACGTCACATATGTGTAATCAGCCCCCCCCCCCCATCTTCTGTGCAGGTTGGTGCTTCTGACAGCCAGTATGACCCATGCTCAGGGATGATAGGACTTGGAATCCAGCAAAATCAGGAGGTCCACATGTTCCCCTACTGTAGAGTTTGGGGACCAATAATAATAATAATAATAATTTATTTATACCCCGCCCATCTGGCTGGGTTTCCCCAGCCACTCGGGGCAGCTTCCAACAAAACACTAAAATACAATAACCTATTAAACATTAAAAGCTTCCCTAAACAGGGCTGCCTTCAGATGTCTTCTAAAAGTTTGGTAGTTATTTTTCCCTTTGACATCTGATGGGAGGGCGTTCCACAGGGTGGGCGCCACTACCAAGAAGGCCCTCTGCCTGGTTCCCTGTAACCTGGCTTCTCGCAGCGAGGGAACCGCCAGAAGGCCATCGGCGCTGGACCTCAGTGTCTGGGCAGAATGATGGAGGTGGAGACGCTCCTTCAGATATACTGGACAAGGCCGTTTAGGGCTTTAAAGGTCAGCACCAACACTTTGAATTGTGCTCCCACCAACTAAACAGCAAGAAGTAGATTAGGCAATACCTTTAAAGTCTCCACATTACCTGGGTACTTCCTCTGAGGCACTTAGTAATGCCAAGCTCTAAGTATTATGCGTGGAACTTTTATTTTGATACTTGTATTCTGGCACTATTAAATGGGGCTGTCAAAAGAAGATTTGTAGTTCCTTAATTGCTTGACTTTTAAACAACCAACCGATTTTCATATTAAATTTGCATATTACCCAAACCGCCGTATGGGCGTGTTTTTAATATATCAAAGAAGACAGATTTTGTTTGTGAAAATTTAAGTGATCACTCACTGTTAGCAAGGAACGGGACCTTTAATATTTTATTGCTCATTCCTCCTTACCCAGAAACACACCGAAAGCAAAACAGCCTCAAAAATAAGTATTGTGCCATGAACTTACAGCCTCATGAATTAAAATTTGCCCCATCTCTGTTTCAAATTACCCTCTATGTATAAAGCAACTATAACAGCGCATTCCAGCGCATGACTACTCAATATTAAGTCCTTCTGAGTTCAATGGGACTTGTTCCCTGCTAAGCGTGTGCAGCAAGGATGGAGAGCTTCTCACCAGGTCTCCTCATTTGGCCCAGAAACCATGCCCATGTGCCCCAAATCTGATGTCATAAGTGACATCAGCTGTGGAACAGGAACAGATGCAGCTGAATTGGCAACTGTTGTGGCCAAGATATGTAGAAAGCAGGAATGACATCCCCGTGCACCAGAAGTTCAGTCCTGCTTGTTTCAGGTGCGTGAGAGAGTTCCCTTGCACTTTTCCTTTCGCTGTTTCTTTAGTGGCAGCATTGAGACCCTCCATGGCATCCCTCCCTGATTTGCTCTAGGAAGGGAGAAGTTGGAAAGCCTCTCTGGCTGGGTAGGTGGTGGCAGAGCCAGTCAGGCAGCAGGGCTGCTAGCTGCAGCTGCCAGTTTCAGGTGTAGCCCCCTCCCTACAAAGCATGGGGTCTAAGAGAGGTGACCTTTCTCCACCACAACAGGGGTGTCCCTAACTGTGAGCATAGCTGCATCTTGTGCGTTGACACAAGTTTTCACATGCAGGTGAGATGGAATGGGTATACCCTAAATGGCCTCAGCCCTGTATACCTGAAGGAGCGTCTCCACCTCCATCCTTCTGCCCAGACACTGAGATCCAGCACTGAAGGCCTTCTGGTGGCCCCCTCAATGTGAGAAGTGAAGCTACAGGGAACCAGGCAGAGGGCCTTCTCGGTAGTGGCATCCACCCTGTGGAACGCCTTCCCATCAAATGTCAAGGAGATGAGTAACTATATAACCTTTAGAAGGCATCTGAAGGCAGCTCTGTATAGGAAAGCTTTTTTTATGTGCAATTATTTTTTATGTTTTTATGAGTGTTGGAAGCCACCAAGAGAGGCTGAAGCAACCCAGTCAGATGGGTATGATATGAATAATAAAATTATTATTATTATTATTATTAGTAGTAGTAGTAGTAGTAGTAGTGGTATTATGCAACATGGAGGATATGGACAAAACAAGGGCATCTGTAACACTCTGGTAATGGTGTATTACCCTATGTAAAGCAGCCAATTTTATAGAACCATGAATATGACTGCAGGCATCAAGCCTTCTGCTGGTTCCATATTTCCTGGGATTAGAGAATCCATCTTCATTATAATTCACTAATTATTTCAATGATCTTTTAACATTCCTGGTTGCTTTTCTTACAACAGGAGGCAGCTGTGGCTGCACTACAGTCATTTCAAGCAACAACTACTACTACAACAATACTAAGCTGCCGCCACCATGGGAATCTGCAGCTATTCCTACTCCTTTAACTGGTTTATCAAGTGACAAGAATGTAAACAGATCTCATTTCTCTGTTGACTAAGCCAATTCGAACAGATTTTATGCCTTCAGCAGCAGGAAGAAGAGAAATTGGCCAGCAGTATGATGTACACAGTACAATTTTTTATCTGTCATACCTTATATTTAACCCTAGGTAATTTTAAAGATGCTACACAGCAGTCGTAAAGTACCATTAATGCTGGAATGTAGCTAAATAAATTCTAATCAGAGTAAACCCACTGAAACCAATGACCAAAATCAGTCCCATCCATTGATTTCAATTAGTCTGCTCTAAATATGAGCAGTACCATACAATTCATTGGGTGGTAAGCAATGCTAGTCCTACTCAGAGTAGACCCACTGAATTTAATATACATTACTAACTTAGGTTCATTAATTTCAGTGGGTCTTTTCTGAGCAGGACTTGGTTGAATACAACCCACTGGGCCAAATTCAACTAACTGGTCTCATTATGGCCAGCCCATACAAGGGCTTCCCCCTTCTTCCCTCCCCACTGAATTGGCTGTGTGTGTGTGTGTAATTAAGTAAGTAGAACGGCTTACATATGGAGGAGAGGAGAGATTGTTCCATTGAGCAAGCAGGAATGCATGTGCTGACAACATGTGTGGCAGTGTGACATTGAATCCTACCTATTGTACAGGGTGAGTCTTTTAAAAGAGGCCCTGTGGAACAGGTGTACTCTGTATCCATGGGGCCTCTTTTAAAGGACTCACCCTGTATATTAGCTTGGGTTATGTATGCATGTATTTTATTTACTGAATTTATATTCCCCCTTTTTCTCCAAGGAGTTCAATGTGGCATACCCTGAGAGTAAGAGTCTTATGCTCTACCATATAGATACAGACCCGGCTTTTCCCCAGTTGGATATGCAATATGCCCCCTCCATCCAAACTGTTACTGGAGGCTGAAGCCTCTAGGGTTAGGGTTGGGAGGCAATTTTCAGCTCCATCTGAAAGATGTCTACAAGCGCAGAGCTTCATTTATCTTCACACGAGTGAATAGCAGACATTCGCTTACATAGGGAGAGTAAAGGGCTTTTTATGTTCCATTCGGCGTTCCATAAAAAAAAGGTGGACTCCTTTCTGAAGGTTAAAAATCCGTCATACACACTGCTATGGATTTACTTCACACACACTTTTAAAAGATATCCTTAATTTGGGATGGCTCCCTTTGCATCATGAAACAAGATTATTCTGATATGATATCTGATTGACTTTTGTTTCCTTGACTTTAGGATTTGCCAAACATCGCAAAAGCAAACAGGAGTCCAGGCTCATTTTATTATGCCTTGGACGTGAATTCTCATATGCAGCTAAGCAAAGATTAATCCGTGAGCAGAAGCTTCCATTGGGAGAGCTGACGTCAGCACTTCTGAGCAGAAAGCAGGCACCCAAGTGGGAGCACAGCAGCGATCCCTCTGACCCACGTTATTTTCTTTGCAGTGAGCAATTTATTTTCCTGAGCTCTCCAGGAATTAGTTACACCTCCAGAGCAAACCCCAAGAGTTTAGCTTCTAATCATTTTTGTTATCCCTCAGTAGGGCCCACAATCAGACACTTTCCTTGGACTTCCAGTTGAGGACAGGGTCAGTTCTTACCGCCTTTCAAACTGGGCACCACAGTTCAAGAAGGACACTGACAAACTGGAACGTGTCCAGAGGAGGGCAACCAAAATGGTCAAAGGCCTGGAAATGATGC